AAAGTGAAGCTCTAGGTGATTTCCTGGGTTGCCTAAGGTTTTGCAAATCTAGGATTTGACACATAGGTGCCATGAGCCGCTGTGCTGTGCTGTCAGTCCCTCCTTGAGGTTCTAAGAAAGGGAGCAGTTGTTCTCAATGTTGCAACAGTAGCTATCACAAATCCCCTTGAAATTCTGATACAACTCCTCATCTTAAAATTGTGCCTGAAATTTTAGAAATTCACAGCTTCCCGAGCTCATTCATGGGCTTCAAGTTAAGAACACTTGAACAGGAAAGTCCTTCCCACAGCCCACAAATACATAGGTGCCACTACTTTCACTTTTTATAGTCAGTATTTCTAAATAGTCATTTTTTATTGATTCAGTCAGTTGTGTCAGTGTTTTGGGGGTTTAGTAACTTTATACGGTTGTGCAGTCACCACTACAACCAGTTGTTGGACTACGGCCAGTTTTGAAACACTTCCATTGCCCCACAGCGTTCCCTTGTGACTGTATAGCGCGCCCCCACAGTGGCGGCAGCGCAGGGAGTTGCTGGGTGCCCCTCTTGCCCTTGGAGCAGGATTGTGGGACAGATTTTGGATCTTTCTATTTCCATTTCTTAGTAAAACCAGGATGTTGCTTCTTCCAGTCTCAACAAGTGTCTTCATCCATAGACTCCCACTGCTTAGAAAAGAGACCTTTTGGTGTAGTTTTTCCTTCTAGTTTGTTTACTTTGTGAGGGTCTCTGAAAGTGCTCAGCCGTTGCAGATTTCCTGAATTGCCAGTTTTCCATCTTCAGTTTCCTGTTGAAGTCTGAGCCCATTTACAGAAAGAAGGGACGCGTCGCCCTTGCTTCAGCTGTTGGGTTTACCAAGATCTTCTAAAGTTTCCTGAAGTCAATTTTTATTTTGTTTACAATTTTAAATCTGGAGCAGTCTGCCCTTAAGAAAAATTTATGAAATGATGTATGTATTTCCTAAAGAGATTCTTCTTTTCTCAAGGCCAGTTTTTTTGGTTTTTGTTTTTTTTAAGATTGGCACCTGAGCTAACAACTGTTGCCAATCTATTCTTTTTTTCTTTCTGCTTTTTCTCCCCAAATCCTCCCAGTACCTAGTTGTATATTTTAGTTGTGGGTCCTTCTAGTTGTGGCACGTGGGATGCCACCTCAACGTGGCCTGATGAGCGGTGCCATGTCCACACCCAGGATCCGAACCAGCGAAACCCTGGGCCGACGCAGCGGAGCACGCAAACTTAACCACTCGGCCACAGCCAACCCTTCAAGGCCAGTTTTTAAAATATGCTGGGCTATTTGAATCTGGTCTTTGCTGTCCTGCTGCTTTTAACTGTTTTCCTTGATGAGGAAATTAAGTAGTTAGTAATTAAGGTGGAATTCTGCAACGGATTTCTGTTGGTCTTCCTGAGATTTAGAAAAATTCTTAAAGATAACTTCAGCTAAATTCTAGGCCACTGTTTAAATTCAATTTCTATAGCTCTGCCTTCTACTCCAGCAGTTAAAGAGGCTGTTGTTTAGTATAATTATTCCTTTGCTGAGAAACTCTCAAGAAAGGTAGGTAGTTCATTTCAGAGGAAAGGGGAAGGAGCAGAAGGACTAGAAGGGTTTTATGGGTAGTGTAAATAGAGAGATGTGATGATTCAAGGAGGGTGAGTTTCCAAAGATTTGAGCAGGGGAGAAATCAAGAGAGACTCTCTTAGTCATTTTATTTTGACGCCCCAGAATACCAATTAAAGAAGTATTTAATGTTGGTTTCTCTCATAATTGTAAGAGATCAGCAGAGTCAAGAAAGAGGGTGTTGGAGTAATAAACTGGGAAGAGACAGACACATTGGGAATTTTCTGGGTGATAGAAGTGTTTTAAATCTTAATGAGGGCTGTCTTGCGAGAGTGTTAGCAGTATTAGCATGTGTCAAAATTCGTTTAACTGTAATGCTTAAGATCTGCTTGTTTCACTGGATGTAAATTATTCCTAAATGAAAATGATTTGAGTGCTTTAAAATTTTTTTTTAACAAATGTGTCCTTACAAACAGATTCCCTGACCGAGCAGAGGTTAGGAAGGGACCGCTAATCTACATCCCCATAGTTACAACTGACCTTATCATGAATGTTTTGTGAGGGGCCCAAGGAGAAGTTTGACCAGTCACTCACCTGTGTCTGAAGTGGTCACTGGTTTTACTCATCTGCAACCCTTAGTCTTTGGGGCCACTTTGAGTTGAATGGAGGCTTATCCAGCCAGTGCCTCCTTCCGTTCCAAATGGAGCACTCCCTGATTCAGTAAAGGGAAACAGGACAGTGCAGGACAGAACAGAGAGAATGAGACTGAGTTTTGCACAAATAGATGAACAAAACCAAAGCAAGTAGCTGAAGAAATAAACTAATGGTGAAAATATTTACCAAAATAGCCTACCTCCAAGCCAAAGCCCAAAGGCCTAATTGCCTTACACAAAGACCTACTTGGTACAAATCCTGGGATGACAAAATCAGTTTAGAAGTGTGAGCTCAAGGAACCAAGTGGAGCTCCCATCGTTGTTGAGACTGACTCATGTGATAGCAAACTCAAAGGACAGACAGAAGCTGGGCACAGGCAGCCACTGCGGACGTGTTTGTCCAAGGCGTCATTTGGAATGATGTCAGATGAGGTTCTTAGGTCAACTGTCAAAGAATGAGAGACCATTCAGTACCCGAAACAAAAACCACAAAGCTAAAGTTACTGATTACTTAAGGAAAAGCTATCCTGGTCAGACACTGTGTCCCCTGATCAGAGCAGACTGCCAGTCTTACAGGGTCTTAGGGAATTTGGGGATTCAAAGGTTGACAAACTTTCAAAGGCAGGAGTGAGTTAATGCCAACTGGAGAAGTGGTGTCACTCAGTGAAGACGGTTGGCATTTTGATGTGTGTTCATCCAAGTGAGTCCTCTTTTTTTTTTTTTAAGTTGTAGATAAACAATGGCAAAGTAGTCATCAAACAGTGATACAGCCCAGCTACATAAAAGATAATGTAGAGAGATGAATCTAATTTTTTTTTGTGTTAAAGTAGTTGGTTTGCTCTTTGTGATGTTTAGGAAACTCTTGTCCCAACAGTTATTACATTCCCCCTAGTTGGGTTCAGAAACACAAATTTAGGGGTTGTCTTTAATTAGAACCCTAAGTTTTTAAAAAAATATTTCTCAATCAGTGTAGATCTGTGTGGTTAGGTAATGTCTGCAAAGCACTGATAATAGAATTGTCACCTAAGTAATCCTGTTTTTAAATGATTTTTTACATTAAAGAAATAAACCTGACTTCTGTTACATGTGTACGAAAAGTGATTTCTTTATTTGTCCAAAATTTATGTGCATCCTACAGTGTGGAATATTCTTAAAGCTGAAAGTTGATTGACTTTTTATTTCATATCCTCTTCCTAAAATTATAAGCTGATAAGAACCGTGAAGCTCACAAAAGTTAAGGAGACAATGTTGGAAAACTGGAGAAAAATCTATGGAAATGATGGGTTCAGTAAGTTTAGAAGTACAGGAACTAGTAAGTGGAAAAGTCAGCAGCTAACTTTTTTTGGTTTATTTTTGTTTGTTTGGGGGTTTGGGGGGTTTTTCCCCATTCGAGAACAGAGATAGTGGGTTGTCCTGTATTTGAAGGCAGAGGTGAAGGAGGAAGCTCTGAAATGGCATCCTAAGGAGAAATAAAGAAATGGCATAGAGAGAGATAAAATAGAGGCTGCCTCTTCTAAGAGCATGGGCTGGAAGGAAAGAAGGTGTAAATCTATGTCACACAGAGAACTTTCATGCCAGAGTGAGTCCGTGCTGTATTGGCTGACTGTCGGAAGTCAGGGGCTGTGGATAGTCAGCTAGTTTGCAGAGGCGTGTTCACTGAAGCCAGTGGCTATTGGTTGATTAAAAGTGTTTAAACCAGTTCTGGTAGTTACTTGTTACTATGACTAGAGAACTATCATTTCTTGATAAAGAAGGTTTAAAAAGCCTTTCCGGTGACTACTTGTGTAACATGGCCAGGCCACTGACCAATTATTTTTTTCAAGGAATGTGAGAGCTTTGTATTTTCGTGTTATCCTGGCCCTGGAACCTTTTAGGATCTTCTTTCTGTATCCTCAGGATACTGAAATTTTATAATGATAAGGCTTGTTACGGGTTGTTTCCTTTTATTTTGTTTTGATTTCCGCTGTGTCCTCACACTGAACTCTCAGTGGACTTCTTCAGTCTGGGCAATCCTCCTCCTTAGTTCTGCCCCGATTCCTAACTGTTTTCAGGCTCTTTGTACCTCCCCCACTTCAGGAATAGGTACTTGGTCTGCTTTCCCTGCTGACTCATTTACCATTCGTGTGTCCCAGGGGTCGGCAAGTTTTTCTGTAAATGCCAGGGAGTCAGTGTTAGAGGTGTTGCAGACCCGGCGGCCTGTGTTGTAACTACCTACCTGCCGTTACAGCGAGATGGCAACCACAGGCAGGACACAGATGTGTGGGCGGGGCTGTGTGCCAGCAGAACTTTCTGTGTGGACGCGGGTGCTGGGCTGGACCTGTTTGCAGACCCAGCCCTTCCTCTCCATCTTTACTGGGCTATTGGCTCGATGAGGGCAGAAGGTTTGCTGTTGTTCATTGGATACAGCCCTGTGCTTAGTAGGCACGCGACTCCTTGTGACTCAGGGCTCCAGGTGGTTCAGGAAAGGGTGAGCATGTCTGTCACGCCATCTTGTAACTAGCGGAATACTCCTTGCTGTTTTTCAGCCTCCTCCCTTTCTTTTTTTTCCTTGACAGAGTAAATATGCTATTCTAATTGAATTTAGGATAGAGCTGAAAGTTGTGTCTGTAATTCTGCAGTTTCTTTCTACCTCTGTTGTTATAAAAAGCCCTGCCAGTAGCATTGTTTATGAACTCTGTTTATGTCATATTGGTATGAAACAGTAATCATTTTAAATAAGTAGACTGGTTTGAGTGTCTTATTTATGTAAGAAGCACATAAATACGAAGACACTAGTTAAGAATTGTTTTTCTTTAATAAGGTACTAGCTTTTGACGAGTGTGCACCATGCGTGAGTATAAGCTGGTCGTTCTCGGCTCGGGAGGCGTTGGAAAATCTGCTCTGGTAAGTCCTTCTCGCTGCACTGAAGCTCTCCACTCCTACACACGTTCTTTTTCGGTTGAGTTTTAGGTTTTGATTATTTGTCATCTTTTATTAAGGCGAAACCCCATAATGATTTTAGAGGCAATATAATATTTTTCTTGAAATTTTAGTCACTCTTTAGTAGTATCTGCGTAGATTATTGGTTCCAGACCAACATGAGATATACCAGAATACAGTTTGGGCTAATAAGCACAGAGGTTAAGAGCATATAAATGCGTGTCTGTCTGCATTTCAGAGCCAGATAGGAATGAATTTTGGTTTCTTTCATTGTGAGTTGGCTTATAATATATATTTTATGTTAGAAAATATTAAATAAAGCTTATAAATTACAAAACCTTTTTCAAACATTACCTTTGATTGTTGAGTTTTTACATTATTTTCACAGCCATGTTTTCTCATCAAGAAATAGTAGAGCAAGAAGACGACATATGGTGGGTGGGAAAGGGAGAGACTTGGGGAAATAACTGATGAACAGTTCAGAGTTTAGCAAAGCCCCACCATTAGACACATGGACCATCTCCCTTGGCCACTTAGAGTGACCACCTGGTACAGAACCTGACATGCTTGGGTCAGACCGAGAAGTACGTCCAAGGGGCATGAGCTGCCTTTTCATTTGTAAATACAGCCAGAGTGATGGAGAGGTGTCTCGTGCGTGCACTAAACAGTTAGCCACTCTCTACTGAAATGCAAATTCAAGCCCTTAAAACTGAAACAGGAGATATTTTTAAAATTTTAAATATATGATCTCTAAATTTAGAATTACCTGATAAGGAGCATAGTGATTATTAATTGTAAAGAAAAGGCTTTATAAGGTAATTTTCTCACAAAAATATGTGCATTCAAATGTAGTATTGGGTATGTTTTTCCATCAATGGCGTAACTACCTATGTGAAATCAATAGTGAGAAATGTACAGATTTGGATTTGTTCTTTTCCTTACAAGTATAATGGTATGTTAATTTTTTTTCAGACTGTACAGTTTGTTCAAGGAATTTTTGTTGAAAAATATGATCCTACAATAGAAGATTCTTATAGAAAGGTATATGTTACTTTAGAAGGCGTTTGCTTTTTACTTTACTATAAATATGAATTCTTGTTTTTAGCTTTGTGATTATTGAGTGTTGTTTACAAAGTAGAACGAAGAAGCAGAGTTAATTTATAAAATTAATGGGAAAAGTTCACACTTATTTCCTGGCATTTTGTGTTTACCAGTTTATGAGAATCTAAACAACACTTGCTCTCATTCTCTGTCTCCCTGATTCTCTCTCAGAGAATTTTAAGTTTATCCTGACCCAAAAATTGTCATTTGACTCACAGACTGTAGAGCTAGGCCGTCCATTTCCCGTGGCGGCTCCATGAGGTCGTGTGTGCCCCCCGCCCCCACCCCAGCCTCCTCAAGTCTGAATACCCTCAGGCTGCCCTCTTTTTAGCCGAGATGTTCAATACAAAAGTCTCCCTAACCTTCCTACCCTTATAGCTGTTCGAGCAAGGGCCACTGCTCGTAATAGAAGGGTTTATTTCTATGTCCACTGACACAACATGTGGCAGTGAAAGCTAATACGCAGACGTTTTTAATTCAGTAAGGAGAGAGTTGTCTCCCCACCTTCCTGGAGCAGCCAGCCTGGCCCCTGCAGCTGTGCAGACGCTCTGTTTTCATTCCTCCGTGTCCGCAGTCTTCCAGAAAAACTGGAAACCCCACGTGTGAGGCAATATTACTCTTTTCTTTCCACATCTAATTCTAAATAGCTTTTTTCCCGTAGGAAATGTTAAGTGAAAAGGGGTAACAAGGGTATATAATTTGATGGCTGTCCTCTGCTTCCTTGCTACCAGAAACTTTGTTCCCACGTGATGGAGGAGATGTGGTTATCTAGAGAAATGAAGGTGTGTCCACAACGTGGCAGAGCTGACACAGGCAGGGTCACTTCTGATATCACTGGAACTGTTACTGGTTGTAAATTTGGGGGGCTGTTTTGCAGTCCTTTCCACTCTAGAATTCAGTGCGGAGTGAGTCATACTGAGCTTGGATCCTGTAGGTCCTGGTGTTGATTAAGAACACAGGCTTTTGTGGCTAATACAGTCTGGGGGGCAGTGGAACTTGATTGTTAGCCAGCTCTTTCTTTCCTGTTTTGTTAAAGTATTGCTTGACATTAGTTGTAAAGTGGCTATAATCAGTGTCTTTATTTTAAATATCATATTAGCTTTTGTATATCTTAAGGTAGTCTTGTATACATAAAAAAATGAAGATGTATTTTACTTTCCCCCAGCAAGTTGAAGTAGATGCACAGCAGTGTATGCTTGAAATCTTGGATACTGCGGGAACGGTATGTAACCCAAGGGCCTGGGTGTGTGTACACTTCGTGCACTACTGACCTTGCATGTGCTGGTACTCTAGAGACAAATTTTAGCTAAGCTAATTTAAAGGTACTGCTAGCATTAAACTTTAAAGCTGTTTTTTTATTCCGTTTTTGTGTGTGTGCTTTGTAATCGCAGTGGGGCAGTTATTGAAGAAATAAGTAGAAAATATGTTTGGATGAAAATTTCGTAGTTTCACTAGCACTTTTAAATCAAGATGTATTGCCATATTTTAAATGATGTGGAAAATCCTTGGGGATGCATTTATTCCTCGGTGGCCTTGTGAAATATTTTGAATGGTGTCCTTCCTCCTCCAAAGTATCTACAGAACGACTAGATTTGTTGCTATCTGCAGTGAAAGGGGAGGTTTATTCTGCCTGTTTGGTATTCCTTCCGCTAACGATAGAGCACCTGACAGGTGCGTGGACTGTGTTCCTACCCTGGGGCTCACAGTCTAGTGAAGGAGGAATCGTGTGGGCGATGGCCAGATAGAGAGGAGGGTGCTGGTGGACCCACAGAACTAGCGCCTTCTGAGCCAGCTGCGAGCACCTTAGGGGTCAGTTTGGGTGCCCCACACCGTATGATACATTAAAAAGCTACCTTTGAGTAGCTTTTGGAGACAGGATGTTTCTGTCCCACTTGAGTATATTTATTTTACATATAAATCTGCTTTGGTTTATTATTTTCAAATAAAAAATTTATTTCTTGAAATACCAGTTTTTCAAATAGCATCTTACCATGGACTGTAATTTTAAGAAATGTTACATAATACTGTATTTTTCGTTGAGCTCTAATTGTAGACTTTGAAAATTGTCAAGTTAATGGTCAAAACATTATTGTTTTTTAATGATCCTCTCTTTCTACCGTAGGAACAATTTACAGCAATGAGGGATTTGTACATGAAAAATGGACAAGGCTTTGCGTTAGTTTATTCCATCACAGCACAGTCCACATTTAATGATTTGCAAGATCTGAGAGAGCAGATTCTTCGAGTTAAAGACACTGACGATGTGAGTTGACTTCCTAATAAATGTATTTTATTTCAAACTAATCGTAGTGATAGCCGATTTAAACGTTTGAATTTAAAGCCAGTTTAACGTTCATGTATTTTGGGTATTTGTTTGTTTTTCAAAAGCTTTTTCCTTGAAAGGCAAAAATAATGTCTTTAACACTCATACGTATTTTCAAGTATATATAATGTAGAAAGTGAGGAATACCCTCCATTAACCTGTGTTAAATAAATTTATACCCTTATTTTTAAATCATGTGTTTGGTGGGGAGGAAGCAGCGGTGTGGGTGGCAGGTGTTACTAATAGAGCAAATGATGTTCTGGCCACATTTCTGGGAGTTTTAAGAGCCTTTTTAACAAGAATCAGGACTACAGATAAACACATCTCCAGAATTATGACGGAGAAGGAACATCATAATATTAACTCTGAAAGGAAGGAGTCGAACATTAATTTACGTGCCCCTTCAGAGTGCACCACAGTGGAGCTGAATCCTGTAGGAAACTTCAGAGGGGTTGCTTGAATCCTCATGGCGCTAGGTAGAGCAGTGGCTCCCAGATTCGGTCTTTCCTCAGAATCCCTGTAGAGCTAGTTAGAATAGATGACCAGCCCTGCTTCTCCCCAGTTTTCTGATCCCTTGGTCTGGGACAGCGCTCAGAAATTTGCGTTTGTAGCACATTTCCAGATGGTGTTGGTGCTGCTGGTCTGGGCACCACACTGTTAGGAACCTCTGTACAATATATAGTTTAATTATAGCAAATACTATGAGAGCTGGGAGGCCCCCTGTGGGAAATGGTGCCTTTTCCTGGACTTCTGAAACAGGAGAGCTGGGGGCCCACGTGTTTCCAGCAGCCTCAGTGAGCATTTCTCAGTTCGCAAATCTGTTTTCTACTGTCTCCGGTAGCTACTGTCGTTTTCTTATAGCAGTTGGATTAAACAAGTATATATTAATATAATACTCTATATCTATTCCTTAAAAAGGCAAAATTCCTGATTTTCTAGTTTGGGTTTTCTCCCAAAAATTCTCTAGAAACCCAGTCTCTAAATGATTAATAGGAGTTTTGCAGAATAAGTATTATTTTTTTGTATAGTGTCCTTTTAAAATTACAAACATCACATGTATCCAGACACATGATTAATGTAGTCTAGATTTTTAGTAAATTAGGTGATTTTCTGGATTTTGAATGTAGACTGTATGAGAAATTGAAAATTCTACTTTAGGGGCTTTCCAGTTTCTTCTTTTGTGTTGTGAAATCGAGAACAATCATTTGATAAACGCATGTCAGGGAGCCAGAGAACTGGGCTGGTTCACATCCCTGAGAGAGATGGTTTAAAATTTCGAAATAGATTGTCTTTTCACAGTAACACCCTTTTGTACTTCCTTTCTAAAAAAGTTTTGCATTTTCCTTACTTTAATTAGTTATAAATCCACTGTGATATGATTTTTAAGGGTTTTTTCCCCTGTTTTGTAAGTAGATCATAGCTTGTTTTCTAAAAATTTCACAATTAAGGGGCTGGCCCCGTGGCCGAGTGGTTAAGTTCGTGCGCTTCGCTGCAGGCGGCCCAGTGTTTCGTTGGTTTGAATCCGGGGCGCGGACATGGCACTGTTCATCAAACCACGCTGAGGCAGCGTCCCACATGCCACAACTAGAAGAACCCACAACAAAGAATACACAACTATGTACTGGGGGGCTTTGGGGAGAAAGAGGAAAAAAAAAATAAAATCTCAAAAATGAAAAAAAAATTTCGCAATTAAGTTTCTTAAATTAACATTGTTAAGGCTTTCATATTTAAGTATAAGTTTTATTACACATTATTAATTTAGTATTTTTCTCTAGCATAATATAAAAAGTAATCTTTAGGGTTAACTTAAAATTCTTTTGATTTGAATTTATATAGCCTATTTATTGACTTATTTGTTTTTACCCTCACAAATATATTTTTAGGTTCCAATGATTCTGGTTGGTAATAAGTGTGACTTGGAAGATGAAAGAGTTGTAGGAAAGGAACAAGGTCAAAATCTAGCAAGACAGTGGAACAACTGTGCATTCTTAGAATCCTCTGCAAAATCAAAAATAAATGTTAATGAGGTATGGTGAATATACTTAAAAGTTCTTGATTTGGATTTAAGCATTCAAAATTAATGGAAAATAATGTGTGTGTATTAACCCCAAGTTAATGTACTCAGGGTGCTTTGTTAGTTAAATATATGCATGTTAATAAGCACGGTGCTCTTTCAGCCTCTTTATTAAATGCTAGTGTAGTGAGATTTACCATGAAAAAACAGAAGGCTAGACAGAGTGAGGAAGTTAGGGGTGAGGAAGACATGAAGTCTGCACGTTTGTGAAGGATGTTATGTGAAGGATAGAGACAAGTTGAAAAAGGAGTGCCCAGTTTACCTTGAAGGGGCTTAAAGTCATGTTGTAGAGTAAAGAGGCAGAAAGAGTTGAAGAAGAGTGAAGGATTGTTTTCTTTAGATGATGGTGAATGTTCTAACTGAACTAAGATCTCTGCAGCTCCTTCAACTCCGTGCTTATTTTAAGGAGAACAATTTTAGCCCTCCCAAAAAATAAACAAACAGAAAAGGACTTGGCAGTTATGAGAATACCTGGTTTGCTCTCATTCCTTAACTGACCAGAATATTTGCTTTCTGGGGTTCATTTATTTCTATGGAAAGTTCAGCTTTTTCATTTTACTTTTTTGTTTTGATTTTTTCTCCTGTAAATTAAAAAATAATTAATATGTTTGCAGATCTTTTATGACCTAGTGAGGCAAATTAACAGAAAAACTCCCGTGCCTGGGAAGGCTCGCAAAAAGTCGTCGTGTCGGCTGCTTTAATGCACTGAATGCATTGTAGCTCTGAGCCAGGTATGTCAACTCTTGCTTGATCTTTTCCCCTTTTTTTGCCCCCCTCTTTTAACCTCATCTTCATTAAGGGCACTCTGTCAAGAAAGCAAGTATACAATTTTTGTTGTTCTAAACAAGAAACAGTTACTTCCTTTCTAAGCTATCAATGAGTTAGTATGATATTCTAGTAATTAAAATAATTATTTCATGCACAATTCATCATCAGAGGTAAGGTATTCCACATAAGTGAATATTCTGGGTAGGTTCATCCTTTCTGTCCTTAGGCCTGGGGGGACACTGGTTTATGCTGACAGCGCAGTCATGAACAAAACCTTCTCTCCTGCCTCTTCATAGCCTTAAGCTAATTAAGTTCTAGTGGAAGAGTCAGACATGCAATTGCAAAATAGGATAAATACTTTGATAGAATGAACCCAGCGTAGTACTGATAATAAGAATCTGTGACACATTTGTTGTACACCAGCCACTCTTAAGTACTGTCTGTCTGTTACTTGAATTCTTGAAACAGTTCTGTGAGGCAGGAACTATTATTGTTCCCGTATTTTCCAGATGAGTGAACTGAGGTACAAAGAGATTATTACTTGTTTAAGCCCTGCCTTGGGTAAACAGCAGAGCCAGAATTTGAATCCAGTTATTTGAGTACATGGCTTAGAATTGGAGCCTCAGACTGGCTCCCAAGTCTGTGCTTAGTCACTATGTTGTTGTAGGTACCTAATATGGTAATATGGGTACTACATATGGGAGCATATACCTGGGGCACCAAGCCAGTCAGATGTGAGCTGTGGATTCAGGGAAAGTCTGTCAGAGTTCAGAGACATCTCAGCTGAGATCTGAAGGGTAAGTAGAAGTTGTGTAGGAGATGAAGAGTTCCAGGCAGAGAACCACAAATACAGCTCAGAGATGAGACAGCAAAGGAAAGCTGAGCCTACAACCTTTTGATACAGTTTTTGAAAACAGTCATGTTAAACAGGTTAATACACGTACAGCAGATCAGTGCCTGGTGCACGGTAAAACCTCAACTATTAGCTGCTGCCGTTTGCCAACGATAGTGCTTTCTTGCTCGGTGATCATTAGATGGTATTTTACTCTACTCTTATCCTTGGGAACTTTTGGTGTCTGACTCTGCTTCTTCCTGTGTTGAGTGGCCCTGTCCCACCACAGCACCGTGATTCTCTCTCTTAGAGTTCAAGGCTCTCTGTTAGATACCTCCTCTCGTTCTTGACCACTCGCCCGTTCTTAGCAGCGCACGTGCCCAAGCTCACACGTGCCCATCTGTCCTTTCCAGTTTGCTGCGATCAGTCTGCTAGGATTTAGAAAACTTAGCAAACTCGTTCAGACTGTCAACGAGGACCTAAAGTTCAAGGCATTTGTGAAATTATTTCTGCAGCCACATCTGTATTAACAGTGTTTCTGGAGCTTGCAACGTCTGATCCGAGACAAACAGTAAAAAAGGAAACTTCTTTTAGCCCAGGCGTGTGTGCAGAAAATCATCCAAAGTAAATAAATATTTGGCAGACGTTGAGTTCTGATTTTACTTCTTAAGTTTAATCGCATGTGATTTTAGTATAATAACTTTTTCTGACATCTATCTTAAAGCTGATAGAATCTGTTTAAATATGGAATTAGAAAGTATATAACTGTTAACTGTAAAGAGGCATCATGAAATAAGTTCTATTTTGTCTGCTTCTCTGAGCCAGCTTTTTAGCTGCTCTTTATTCTTTTTTTTTTTTTTTTTTTTTTTGGTTGGCTTGGGAAAATTAGCCCTGAGCTAACGTCTGTGCCAGTCTTCCTCCATTTTCTGTGTTGGTTGCTGCCACAGCATGGCTGACAAGTGGTGTAGGTCCACACCTGGTATGCAGACCTGGCCTGCTGAAGCGGCTTACACCAACCTTAACCACCATGCCACGGGGCCAGCCCCTATCTGCTCTTATTCACAGAGGAAGGAAGAAAGGTCTTGATTTTCTGGTACTAGAAACCCTGGTAAGATGGGCATTCTATACTTAGGATGTAATTCTAGGATTGGAAACATTCTTATAGGATCGCTCATTTTAAAATACTAATTGCAGTCTCTCTTTTAATCCTAATTCTAATGAAGCTGACCTGATCTAAAATTTTAATGTAGTGGGGTTTTTTGGGTCTTTCTTTTTTCTACCCCCGGCTTTTACTCTTTGGAAGATAGTACACAGACATTTGCATTACAGTGATCCCCTTTTGTATCTGAAACTTCGTTTGATCGACTTCCCAGAGAGTAGCAGAATAGATGAAGTCATTCCACAGAGATGAAAATATCTACCCGTGCCTTGCTTTGCTGTGAGTTGTGGGACGGTGTCATTAATGTAATGACGAGGACAAGAGCCTATATTACATTCATTTCTAACACTTCATTGTTCCTTTAGATCTTTAGTGTGCTAATTTTTGGCCCACGTTTTCAATTAATGTAATTTATTTCTTTTTGACAGGTCTGAAGAACTGTTGCCCAATTCAACAGTGCCAGCATTCCAACTTTGTTAAACCTACCAACATCTTAAATGGACTTTCTGTGGTGGTACCCTTTAAGAGGCGGATGAAAGCTACTACATCAGTTTGCACATTCTAATCACTTCCCAGTATCACAAGAGAGATTTTTACTTATATAATAGTCCTAGAGTATGCAGCTGGTAAAACCAGAGGCTACGATCCAGTATTACTGCTAAGAGACATTTTCATCCACCAATGTTGTACATGTATGAAAATGGTGTACTGTATACTTTACACGCCCCATACTTTGTATTGGAGAGTACAATAATGTAAATCTTAAAAGCACCACTATTTTAGCATAATAAAAGAAAGTCCAAAGAGCTCCTATATAGACTACTCCAGATAACTTCGCTTCTTTGATACTTGTAGCTTATTGTAATTTTTTTTAAGAAATTCAAGGTCATTATCATTGTATTGTACAAATAAGCGCTTTGATTAACACAGCTATATAGTTTTTTTAATTTTTAAAAATCCTGTGGAGACAGTGATCTTGTCTTTAAAATATGATAGTCCTTTCAGTCTAATGTCTTAGATTAAAGACGTTGCCTTTAATATCTGTTGGGAAGGAAATGTCCAGACTTTTCAAATCTCTTATTATATGTTTCCTTTTTTGTTTACATAGGGAACAGTGTTTATAGTTGTGTGTACAGTGGGGGTCTACAACAAGAAGTGTATATTTTCAAACAATTTTTTAATGATTTAACAATTTTTGTAAATCATTTTCAGGCTTCTGCAGCTGTAGATTCTCACTGTGAATCCCTTGCTTGCTCATGCATAAGTGTATTTGCAATACCAAATATACAGGTTTAGTATTTTTGCCTGTTAGTGATTGTTTCACATGTGTAACGTTTTGGTTGAGATGTTAAATGGTGGACGAGTACTGTGGATGTGAATGTGGGAAGTAATTTTAATCATGTGTAATTGGTCACAAGGCCTGAGTTGCAGTAATATTGCTGTTTTATTTAACAATGCCTTGTTGCTTTGTATGCATTAACGTTTGGGTGTAAAGATTGTGTGTCTATCCAACAGGGAGCCACAGTATTTAAATTGACCAACCTGATGTTACAACTCCTTTGAGGTGGCCAAATGTAAACTAAAAGCCTTAATTAAAGTGGTGCAATTTTGTATAACTAGCATCAGTAGTTCAATAAATTTGGATTGCCATGCAAGGGCTTGCATTATAATTACTTGCCACTTGAATGTGTTTTGTGTAATGTTTAACAGTGCTAGTAAATAAATATGGGTTTAACTTCTTTTTAAATAGAATGGGTGCGTTTTACATAGTTTGGTTTCATAATTTAACATTTTGGCAAGCTGGACTCATTCATTAATTACAGAAATGATGAGTGAAAGATGGCAGATTTTTTTCCTAGTATTGTTTGAATATCCACATAACCACTTTCTGAATTTTTCCTTGGGAAAGAATTTGTGAATCAGGCAATATTACTTTAGGAATGTATGCCTCTGGGCAATGTTCAGGTGTAGGAGGTGTCAGAAGAATTGAAAAGACTGACAGATGTTACACTTAGGGATTTTTTAAAAATATAGGATGCAGTTTTACTCAAGCTATTATCGCTATAAACTCTCTGAGAGAAGTGGACTCGGGTCCTACTTTGTTTTTAGATGATAGGTCTGTCTTTGTCTTTTGTGTGCTATAATCTTGTTCTTTTTTGAAGTTTGTAAGCAAATCTTAACTCAACTTTCTCAAAGTATTTGCCAGCCACTGGAGCCTCTCAGCGGTTGACCAGTTACACCATCTAGTTTAGGGGTTAATCCCCTACATATGGGCTGTTTGAAGGGGCATTTGAAGGCTTTAATTTTAAGAAGAAAGAAGTCTTCTTCCTTACGTATTTAACTCAGAGTTCCGTATACTTAAAGGTCCCATGGATCCAAAGAAAAAGAAATGTTCTCTCAGAAGTCCCACTTAATGAAAGGACTTGTTTTAGCAGAACTGGTTTTATTTATCATCATTGGGAGAAAAACCCTAAAAAAGTGGGATTGCTGAGTGCTAAAATCACTTCACTTTATGATGTCCTGTTACATCCTGTCCACCCTCTTTGAGCGCACCACCATTCAATGAGTTACCTTTAATAAGTGTTTGTTGCCCACCAGCTACATGCCAGGCTGAGTTTTCAGCTCTTAAAAACAGATAAATATTCAACAGATAGATTTAAGTACTTCTCTGGCAAGCTTTGTTCTAGGCCTGAGGATAGAGCAGCACCCGAGATCAACTTGGACCCTGACCCCCTAGAATTTATGCTCTGCTGCGGTGTGTCTCAGCCTCAGCACTATGGATGTTTTGTGCTGGACAGTGAGTTGTGGGGGGGTATCCTGTGCATTATAGGATTTTTAGCAGCATCCCTGGTCTCTACCAACTAGATGCCAGTAATACCACCCCCACCCCCAAGCTGTGACAGCCAAAATTGTCTGCAGACTTTGCCAGGTGTCCTCTAGTTAGATTTGGGGAGAGGGTGTTGAGGGCAGAATTGCCCCATTGAGAACCAGTGATCTGGTGGGAAACAGTACGAGTCACAGACGAGTGCTGGGCATACAAAACGGACAGTTGAGTGTGTGAATGAGGAGGTGGGCCCTGGAACCAGGCTTCCTGGGCCTCTGATCTCAGCCCTGCCCTTCCCTGGCCTGTGACCTGGTTAGGTGTGAAATGGGAGTGATAAGAGCACCTACTCCAGAGGAGTAGACTGAAGTCAATGCCAGTGCCCTCCTCTAGGTCGGTGTTTTTTTGTTTTTTATCTTGTATCTTGCTAATAGAAATAGGGCTGTGGTTTGGCAAAAAGCACCATTGTCTCCCATATGACATAGTTGCTGCAGCTTAGGAATTGCAGGTCCTGTGCAGATAGACTCTCTGGCGCTTAAATGGAAAATACTACAGTAATTCAGTCAGAAAAGTCATGAGTTCCTCCTCATGTCCCCAAGGATACTGAGAGAAACTTGAATTTTAGGAGAAAACCAGAGAGAGATTTTATTTAACTTTTCTAAAAAGTTGTAAAAGCCCCATTTTGACTTTTGCGTGGATTCGGCCTTCTTTTTTCTTGCGTGTATGGTTGTTCCCACATGTGGCTGTTATGAGCAGAAAATTTAAAACCTCCATTTATGAAGGTGAGTTTTGCTTCTCTGTTCAGTCATCTTGTCTGTTGGGTGGGGAAGGCAACCTTAGAGTCAGAGCTCACCCCGCACCGTTTCCCTCTTCATTTACTTCCGTCTCTGTCTGCCCTGAGTTTAACCCCATCTGTTATTCCATCTCCTCTTAAATCCTGGAAATGCAGAAAAGAATTACATATTTGTAATTAATACTCCTGCGACTTCATCTTAGTGTTTGCAGGCTCATCTCTCCTAAACTATCAGTGAGCCTTAACAAATTGTGATTTATAGGACCCAGATTTTTTTTTAAAACCTGTTCTGTAATTTGTTACAGTGCATCAGTACATCTGGTGTTTTATGAATGCGTGAGAGAAGTATAATAGATTGAGAGCAGATCTAAACTCTGTCCCCTTAACTGACTATGGAGAGAAAAATGTATGAGTCTTTGTTGGGATATTGATGACACTTGTCAACAGTTGGCTACTAAACCTGTTAATGGAGCAACTGAGTTTGTAGGCTTGGCATTAGTTTTTCTTTGAAAGGTAGAAATAAAATACTGCTAAATAGGTCTGTTTTCTAAATGCTGCAGATTTTTTAAAAACTATTCCAGATGTTGCATATATTTTGAGCTTCCTCCCTTAAAATATCCTTGTTTGTGGCCTATAGAATACTGACCTTAAGAATTAAAGACTCTCCAAAATTAGAGCTATCTAGCTGAGTTTTTGTATCTACGAATCAACAGATCTGTTTAGTTGTGTGTGTCTGCCACGTCCCAGGCCCTGCCCGCCATGCTGGGGATGCAGCAGAGCTGTTCTGCCCACATGGAGCTTCCATTCTCTTGGGAGAAAACGACAGCAACTGAACAAAGCTCAGTGGGTAACGATCTGTTAAACTTTCTCAGAGCTTTCCATTGGGACAATTTAATGACTTTAGGAGAACAGGGTATTTCTAATATGTATAAAGATTTTTATCCTTTATAGGCCGTCAGTAATTTCTCTGATTTGTCTGAAAGGGTGTGCAGGGAATTTTTACTACTTTGTTATGTTATGAACCTAGTTTAAATTGATTTTCCTTATACAATGACATAAATGAGATCATTATCCAGATTCAGCATTTGGGTCAAAATGCAGGGTTTTTTCTGGAAACTAAACTCAAATAGATCTTACAGGATTTTTATGTGAATAATAATGTTCGCTTAAGTCAGAAGGTTACAGCAGTTTTTAAATAGGCAGAGATCAAACCCTTTAAGTTTTGTGATCTGCTGTTACTACCCATTCGGATTCCTGTGTGTGGTGTGGTAGTTCATGTCCCCTGTGAGCACTGGGTTCAGAACAGGAAACTCAGTTACTGTCAAACTTAGGAATGTGCAGTGTGCTGTGCTTTGGGCAAGGGGAGCAGCAAAGAGTAAATGATAAAATAAACCCAATTCCTCCTGGCAAAGTGCTTAATATATCAGTGTGGGGAAGACCAGTCAGAAATACCAAATGAGCGAAAACCTAACTCACGTCTAACCGCAGATGATCCTGCTCCGTCATCCCTACTAATGCAAGTGACTATGTAAAAATTTTGTTTTAAAATGTATGGACTGCTTAATTTATATTTCTAACTTAGTTTTACTCAGGTCAGTGTTAATTAGATTCTCTGAGCAAATCAGCCAGTGATGGACAACTACATGGCTGGCAGAGAAATTAATAATTTTCCATGGTGGAAATGGAGTACAATGAGTGGGTACAGGAGTGAGGAGTTAACCAGGGGGCCGCTCTACTGCTCTAATGGGAGCAAAGCACTACAGCCACCCACGGTGACAGCTATGTTGAAGACAGCCGGGGAGGAACAATGCTGGGTCCCAAGTGAGCCCAGCCGGCTGGGAGGCGGCTTGGGTCTGTAAGCATGAAGTGGTTAGGGTTGGAGCTGCCGTGACAAGGGTAGCCCAAGAAACTTTAAAAAGGAGCAACTGGAGAATTGGTTAATGGCTTAAATGTGGGGGCTGAAGGAAAGAGTCAAATATCTGATGATATTAGCAGAACCAGGGAGATGGAGCACCAATGATGATAAAATAGAGAAGCTGGCAAGGAATTGTGGGTTTTAGTGC